GCCCAGCTCAGCCAGGTGTCTGGATGGCTTCTGAAGAAGGGGCAAGAAAAAGGGGCGGTACAGGGACCTTTCTAAGGAGCTGATGACACTCCCTACCTCTGCAATTCACACTCCTGGCCTATAAGAATTTAAATCCAGTAATGAGATCTACACTTTAAAAGTGAAAATACTAGGTCAGGCACGGTGGCTCATGCCTGTAATCCCAGCACTCTAGGAGGCCACAGTGGGTGGACTGCTTGAACTCACAGGTTCGAGACCAGTCTAAGCAAGAGCTCTCTAAAAGATAGCTGGGCATCAAGGTGGGCGCCTGTAGTCCCAGCTACTTGGGAGGCCAAGCCAAGATAATTGCTTAAGCCCAAGAGTTTGAGGTTGCTATGAACAGTGATACCATGGCACTCTACCAAGGGCGAGAAAGTGAGACTCTGTCTCAAAAAAAAAAAAAAAGGAGTGAAAATACTCCCACAAAAAAGGAGTGAAAAAGCCCAAGAGTTGGAGGTTACTGCGAGCTGTGACCCACAGCACTCTACTGAGAGAGACATGGTGAGACTCTGTCTCAAAAAAAAAAAAAGTGAAAATACTCCCACTCGGCCGAACATACTCTTCAGCTACAGCAGAGAACACACACAGAGATGTGGATGCCAAAGCAGGGGAGGCTGGCTGCAGCAGTGGCATAGGGAGGTTGGAACCCCCTCAGCGCCAAGTAGCCAGAGGCTGGCATTCCCCAAGCCAAGCCCTGAGGGCAGGAAGGCCACTCTGGGCTGGCAGTTGTTCACTGTCTCTACTGTGGCTGCAGCCTCAGGCCTTGCTGTGCAATGGTGTAAACACACTGCAGAGCCCACACCCTGTGCTGGGTGACCCCTTACAGAGACCTGAGCAGAGAACTGAGCTGGAGAGTGTGTCCAGTAGCTCAGAGCTCTGAGGCTGAAGGGATGAGCCCAGAGAAGACAGCACCTTCTGCCAGACTCGGCAGAGTGAGGTCCTTCACATGTTATCTATTTCAAGGAGTTCAATAAAGAGAAAACTTCAAATACATAAATTCATAAATCTTTACCTTTACTTATTTACTTATTTTTATTTTTGTAAAAGAGTCTTGCCGTCACCCAGGTTAGAACAATTTACTACAGCCTCATACTCCTGGACTCAGCAATCCTTCTGCATCAGCCTCCCAAGTACCTGGAACTACAGGCATGTGTCATCATACCTGGCTCTAAGTTTCTTTTCTTTCTCTCCTTTGCTTCCTTCCTTTTTAAAGCTCTGTGTTTACGCTCATTTTTAAAATTTTTTTTTATTTTTTAAAAAGAGTTGGCTCGGCGCCTGTGGCTCGAGTGGCTGGGGCGCCAGCCACATACGCCTAGGGTGGTGGGTTTGAGTCCAGCCCAGGCCCGCCAAACAACAATGATGGCTGCAACCGAGAAATGGCCGGGCGTTGTGGCAGGCACCTGTGGTCCCAGCTACTTGGGAGGCAGGGGCAGGAGACTCGCTTGAGCCCAGGAGCTGGAGGTTGCTGTGAGCTGTGATGCTACGGCACTCTACCCAGGGGGATAGCTTGGGGCTCTGTCGCAAAAAAAAAAAAAAAGTTGTATTTTATAATTTTAAAACATTAAGAAGGGAGAAAATATTTGCCCATAATCTTACAAACCACAGGCCAGAGTCAGCATGCCATTTCCTCTCTGTGCACACCAATATTATAATTTAAGCCTGAATGGACAGAATGTTTAAAACTGATTTTAAATCTTCTCTTCCCAGCTGGGCTCAGTGGTGCACACCTGTACTAACTATTACAAAGCTGAGAAGGGAGGACTGCCTGAACCGGGTGTTCAAGACCAACCAGGGAGACAAGGAGAGACCCCATCTGTCGAGAAATCTTTTCTTTCTAGTCAACAAGGAAATCCAAAGTATGGAGCACACATCAATCCAGCCATGGCCTTGGTTTCCACCCTGGGGACAGGCTTCTAACCAAGATCCTAACTTTCAAAACACCAAAGGCACTGGAAGTATAAATCATTACAAACTATTTCCAGAACATTTAAATAACAGATGCTGTATTTTAATTAAACGGCACTCTCCTCCACAGACCTCGCTTAAGTGTGGGATAAACTCCCCACCATCACTGCAATGGCACAACATAAAACTCTCCATCTGCAGGCACTTGGGCTCCTGAGGCCCCCCAGGGTCAGCTGGGCTGCCATCCAGAACCCATAGGTGTCAAATACCCATCTTGGGCCCTACCTGGAGGAAACCCAGCCGACAGCAAGGCTGATGACAGAACTGCCTGAGAAAAAAGGCTCAGGCACATGTACTTTCAGAGTCCCCTTGAGTGGCACACATAGCTGGGGATGAAAACCAGTGCTCCAGAGCCCAAATTTGCCCAGATACAAGCAAACAAGGGGCGCAGGCCAGCCCTGGAGGCCCTGAGGGAGCTGCAGGGAGTCTTTGAGTTCCTACTCAGTGCAGCCCTCAGAGAGCCCAGTCCCAGCAAGCCCACCAGAGACCCTCATTCACCCACCTGCGCCTGCTCTCCAGTGGTCTTCTCTGTCCCTTTGACACTGTCGTGGCCATCATCCTCACTACTGTCACTGCCAGAATCGTCCAGGCCTGAGAACACACTCTCTTCGCTATCAGAGAGGCCAGAATCCCTGCCATCTCCATGACTGGGAGCAGAAGTGCAGAAAGAGGGCTGCAAGAAAGCACTGAGTTGGTGACTGTTGCTCCCACAGGCTTGCCCACGGGGCACCATGTACCAGACACTGTGAGAGGCAGGTACCACCATCCCCTCCAGGCACTGACCAGCAGCTCTGTGCAGCCAGCCTCCAAGGACCCAAACTCCCAAGAGTGGTGCCAAGTCTCCACCTCCACCAAACCATCCACCCAGCCAGGGCCCTTGGAAACTTCTTCCCCTCTGCAGGCAGCATGGCTATCTGCCCTTGGTGCGGACAGTCTTAATTCCTGGTATCTCACAAAGAAGGGACTTTCCAAGGACAACATCCCCTTTCTAGAATTCAGTTTCCACTGCAGCATCAAAACTGGCTCTCCATTGCCAAAATTCTCCACAACTCAAGTTGCATTCAAGGCCCCTGAGAGCTGTGAGGGAACTAACTGGGGGAGGGGCTGGGGGGTTGAAGAGGTTTAGAAGACCTGCAGGACTTTTATCACCTAAGAAGAAGCCTACCGGCTTGGTGCCCGTGGCTCAAGTGGCTAAGGCGCCGGCCACATACACTTAAGGTGGTGGGTTCGAATCCAGACCTGGGCCCGCCAAACAACGACGGCTGCAACCAAAACCAAAAACAAACAAACAAAAAAAGCCGGGCATTGTGGCTGGCGCCCGTG